AGGAGCAAGACCCAAAGGCTTTGAAGCACACACCAATATTAGTCCAAGGAGGACGAGTCTTTTATGAACGGGATCAGCAATCACCACATGTCACCTTTCAGAGCAGAATATGACAAGGAAGTCACACGCAAGAGAGCTGCACTAATGCAACACTGCAAGATAAGATTAAAACCAACAGGAAAAAGACTTTCTGAGAGCTTCGTATTTCAGTTGGTCGCGTGGTGACCTCTGCATTTCGATGCTCAGGCATTCAAGTATATCTACAAGAGCAACGTTTTCCGTGGTCCTACAGCCTGGCAGGGAGCATGCGAGGGGTTCACAGGTAAGAGGTGCCCCAAACATCGCTACTGCATTTTTGCAACGACATCCCTTGGTCTGATAAGAGACTTGATCTCTCGAAACAAATCGTTCTTTGTGAGCGCTACGACACTGCGAGGAGAAGGAGACAGCAAGAACCACAGGGGCAGGAGGGCAAAACAGTCACTTTCTCTCAAACGGTAAGGAAATAAAAGTGAAGCAGGAAGAAAGCGGTACCTCTGTCAAAGGTCTTGGTCTTCTCTCTACAACAAATTCTGTGTGGCAGAGCTCACAGTAACTTGTGTTGGAGGAGGATAACCATTTTTCCAGGCAGCTCTTGTGCACGGTGCCCAGTGTTCCTGTGCAGTCACACGGGGAAAGCAGTCCCTCCCCATTTCCACCTTCATGACAGATTCGACAGATGGGACCATCGCTAAAGAGGCAAACAAACAGAACGAAATCATGGTCAGAGCAGGCAGAACGATACAGCCACATCGGAGAACGGGGTCTGATCCCACCAAGCCTCAGAAGGGCACACGTACAGCAGGCAGCATGTGGCAGAGCGTGCCAAGAGTGCTGCGACTTTCCAAAGCAGCCTGCTGCAGTGAGAACCCAGTCTCAGGGGAGCGTGGAGGTGCCTGGGACATCTTAGGCCAGTAAAATCTGGGAGCCACGTTGATGAGCACCACAACACCCAAGAGAAGCTGGCAGGCCAGCCTGGCCAGCTCAGCTGCCGTAGAAGGGACCGCAGCACACGAGTCGCACGGTCTCCAGCTCACAGCAGGTGGAGATGCTGTCACCGCACCCGAAACCAGCCCTGAAACACTGAGGCAAATCCAGAATCCCACAGTGAAGCTGGATGATCCATGCTAGTTCCAGC